AAAGGAAGTGAAGTGACCCTGCTGATGCTAGAGATCCAGGAAAGAGCATGGAGTTCTACCTGCAGGCCGGATTCCCATATGTTGCTGACCATCCAATACAAAGCTTCCCATGGGTTGACCTTCTGGACTATATGCTGCTCCTTGGCTCACTGAAGGATCAAGAAGAAAACCTGATTGTAGTCAAACGTGGACACAGAGGAAAAAGAAGAAAAGACATACCAAACAATCAGCAATTGTTCCAGTCTCAGTACTGAAACACTATATATAACATACTACCTACCACGTTCAAAAACAACACTTGCACTATTCTGCACTAACTGCATGATTAGAATTAAGTGTGCATGTTGTGTTGGATAACAACAACAACAACAACAATAGCACAACATCTAGAAATTTGAAATAATTTTCTTACCTTTATTATAAGACAATATTTTACCCTGCTTCTTTTTGGGATTTGCAGTTTGATTTGTATCTCACTATGGTTGTTTGTACAGTAATTTCAAGTTATTACATTTTTAATGTTTGTAAGTTTGCTACTTATATTATTCTCTGTATCTTTTGCACACACAAAAATATACTGAAGATGCTTTTTTTCCTGCTTTCTTAAAATCAGAGTTAATTACTTTGATTTTTATTCTGCCACCTAGTTATGGAAAAGAAATCAACTGCTAGTGCTACTCATAAAGATTTTTCCCATAGGATTAATAATCTCTCTAGACCTTTAAAGAAAAGCAGCAGGCAAATCCCATCAAGTGGCAGCCTGGTTATTACCACATGGAGAACTGTTTTATCCAATAACTTAATTGTAGAAATGACAACTCTCTGAAAGTGAAAGAACCTTACAGTTTTAAACGTATATATAATCATTGCTGTGCGAGAATATGCTGCCAAAATTTTCTTGGTAAAATATTTGATGCACTGGTAACCAAAGGAAATAAAATTTATTTTTGCCACTATTGTAGCATGCCTGGTATTAATTAGTAGCATATTGTGAATAGTCAAAGCAAATGAATGGATACAATGAGTTTTACAGCTAGCCTTACAGCAAGGAAAGCGATGCATGAACTGAGGAGTTATGGGTAGCAAGAAAATGAGATTGTCCTGCTGATTGGATGTAAAAAAGCAGTGAGCAATTCAAGTGCTCCCAGTCAAACAAACTGCTTGTGGCACTAGTACTTGTACCCAATTACTGATTCAGAGAGAAAATAAAAAGCCGTTTCAGTAGAGTCAGGGTGGGAAATCTCCAATTAGCACCAATTAGCGAAGTTGCTTCCTATAGCAGAATTCTGGGGACACAAGGAAAAAAAATCTCCCAGAATGCCTATTGAAGCATTTATTTACCAGGTGAAGGGACTCCCAAAGAATAACTTGATGAGAATTTGTGCCTGTGGGACTTGAATACAGATACTATTTGAAACTTGCCTGCTCGATTTGACTGGTCAATCATAGGCTGTACTATTCTTCTTCTGGCATTAATAAACCTGAAACAAAACACAAAGCATAGAAATCTATTTGTTGGCTGAGTGTTTATTTTTTTTTAAAAAAAATAATCATTAGAACCCGTTAAAAAGCTGAAGAACAGCAGTGCAGAGGGACCAAAAAAAAAAAAAAACAACCCTGAGAAAAGACTATCATATAACTTGCCAGGAGATTTTAAAGCATTTTTTTTTTTAAAAAAAGCGTGTAACAGAATACTTGACTTCACCCACTATTTCTAAATGCAAAATTATTCAATCAGCCAGAAATCTGGCTAAGACTGCAGAAGACATATTTATTTTTCAGCCCTAGCAATTCAGCCACCATTGCAGCTGTCCATAAATGAGGACCAGACTTTGCTATTCTGTGCTTTCACAAGGTATTGTTAGGTCAGCAAAGCCATCAATTAGGCTGTCTGAAGTTTTATCACCAGTGTAGCAGCGGTAAGAGCAGGCAGAATCCCGGCTCTTCTGCCACTCCTGCAGTTTCAGCCAGTAAAGCCAAGGGTCATTTCGAGGTCAGTGCCAGCTGGGGGCAACCTTTCCAGCAAGAGTGGGGCACCAGGGGCAGAGAGCACAGGGCACCTTCCAACCATAAACTCGGGCACCTTTCAACTTGACAGAAAGAGGGAGTTGCAGGTACATGTGTTTAATATTAGTCCTGAAATAACTTCTTCTCCAATCAGGTACCATAACTAAAGCAGCACTGAAGTCATCCGAACATCAGGCAAACCCATTATTTAGGAAGGGAAGTCTGGATTTAATTTTGTGGATAATTCAAAAATAAATGCTTGCATATTTCCCCATTAAGTTAATGCGTAACAACCCACATCAGTTAATCTTGGTTCAAGTTAACCCTGAGACAATGATTCTTCACTTCCAAAAATTAATTGAGTAGGTTACTTCATGCCATCGTTTACAAGGTACGTTTATTTTACTTTATTTTATTTTGATGCATATTCTTTGCCTTTTACAGCACCTTAAGAGTGATGTTCAACAGGGTTGCCCTCGGATTTCCTCAAGACAGTGAACACAGGCCCCAGAACTGCCAGTTTATTTTAACACTTATAAAAAATACATTCTATAAGTAAATAAAAACTAAACAACTAAAGAAATAATAATTTCCTAGCTTCTTTATCCAATATCCATTTGTACATTTATTTGGTTTAAGATGTGCTCCTTCAGTAGTTTGTTGGATAGGCCTACCAGATCTGGACTTCAAAACTCAGGATGACCACCAGATGGCATCTCTAGAGTTTGGCAGCCCTGATCTGGCAGCTACATCTTATATACCAGGACAGATGCCACTCTGGAGGATATGCAGTATGCCTAGTACGTTGTATTTTCCAAAGTCACCATTTTACAAATACAAAATTGAGACAGAGTTTTAACCCATATGCCTGAGAGCCAATTTGGTGCAGTGGTTAAAACACCAGGCTAGAAACTGGGAGACTGTGAGTTCTAGTCTCACCTTAGGTACAAAGACAAAAAAATAAACAACCTTGGGCCAGTTACTCTCTCTCAGTCCTAGGAAAAAGATAATGGCAAACAAGAAAATTGCACGGACTAGTTGACACTGACTCAAAAGGACCAAAAAAAGAAAGCATCCATAGCATTGGACAAGGTAAAAAGATGATGATAAATCTAAGCCCCAAAATATTTTTTCTTAAATAACACTGAACATAATTAATATGATTATACCATATAATTCCTCCCTACTATGTTACATTAACAGTTATAAATATGTGATATCTTAGAAAAAGCTGCACCCAAGACGTTAGGATTGTTTCATATAGTCCTGTATCCTCTGGCAGTAAAATCCTAATCTTCAAGATACTGAAAATCAGCTGACTGAGGCATTCACCTCACTCTGTGTAATGGAAGGACTAGCATTAGTATTTTAAGCTTCATCCAGTATTAGAAATGCAAATAAGCATGAACTTTAGGGTCTGTGTAACCCACTTGTGAATACTAAACATGTCCATTGTCTAACGGAACTTCAGTAAGAATTAGTGCACACCACACACAAGTTTACAGAAATGTTCAACAAGCTTTAAATAAGGCCAGGATTTAATACAGATAAACTCATTTATCAAATTAATCTGCTTTAACATTAAGCACTTGGGCTGCAAAGACCACATTTCTTCCACAACTTCAAATCCACTTTCCTGCAATATATGTAGCATATATTAAATATTAATATAAATATACACGGACACAAATATGATCATTTATTATATACCAAAATATATTAATATAAAATATTAAAGGGCCGTCATTGGCCCTACTCTCAAGGTCTCCAAGTGAACCAGGTCTGCTTCAATTCCACACTTTCTGCAGCAAGGCTTGAAGAGGGCTTCTACCTTGCTTGAATGAAAACAGAACTATTAGATAATTAGGAGCATTGATAAAGCAAGGATTTATCTAACTGCATGGCTGCCCTGTTGTCAGAATGGGTCAGCAAACATTTCTAGAGGGATGCTGCCCTCTATTAATTCCACACTCATCATCAAAGGGACCTCAGGGCACATTTTTCTCCTCCACTTCTGAAGTACACTTTTTCATGCTATATCACCTTGAGTGTTCCTGTCCATTTGGGATAAAGCACTTCAATTTCTTACAAGCTAACACCTGGAATTCATTAGCCACTTCACTGAGGCAGGGATGCTCTTCAAATTACTCAGTGCTTATTATAGTCTCCAATATTTTTCAGATCTACCTTTAAAATTGCTGTAATACTATAATGGCTATTACATTTGTCTTCTAAGTAGAAGGTTGCTAGTTTGAAATCCAGCTTATTTTTTAATATTATTGCTCTCCAAGATTCCTATTTGTCCTCTGTTCTTCTTTTTCTTTTAAAAATCTAGCGGTGCGTGTTTTCATCAATTTTCTAGTTAACTGAAGTAAAAGGGCTTCACTCCACTCCCAAAATAGCTCCTAGATTATTTGGGCTCTTTAGGAATTGAGGGTGATCATTTTCTATCTTGAATTATTAAAATGATTTTGAAATGATATACTGCTGATCTTATTTTTTTTTTAAAGCATAGTTCACAATATAAACTCAGGGAAGAAATAAAAGGCAAATTCCACATATTTCTGCTTGAGTGTGATTGTGAACCAAAAAACATTTGTTTGCCGGGCAAGGGTTTTACCCATTATGTTATTATAGCACCGCTGGTATACAGTTGCCCTAAAACAGTGTTTCTCAACCTTGACAATTTTAAGGCATGTGGACTTCAACTCCCAGAATTCCACAGCCAGCATTGCTGGCTGTGGAATTCTGGGAGTTGAAGTCCACATGCCTTAAAATAGTCAAGGTTGAGAAACACTGCCCTAAAAGATAATAAAAAAGAAAAGGGCCATAATATATTTTTTGTTATTGGGAATTTTGGTATTTTATCTTTGTATGTATAAATTCTATTTAACCTTGATAGGTATATATGTGTATATCTACATATTATATATGTAGATACACAAACATGCATGTAGAAGAATCTGTCTGTCTGTCTGTCTGTCTGTCTGTCT